AGATGTGTATAAGAGTTGTGTGGTAAAGAATACAAAATTGCTTGACAACCAATACGCGCTCGTTTTGACGCGCTACTGTGATTTCACGAACTAACACAATCTACTTTGATTGTGTTAGTTCGTGATGTGAGCGACGTTATGTTGACCATCTTTATTTTTATAGTCTACGCAAGTATATACTAGAGAATGATCACTTATTGATATAATATGAGCAACGCTATAAAGTACATGGCGTTCAGAGATTGAAGATAAAATCGATACAAGTCACTTGCTGACTTGTGTGCGATTCTTAATTGTTTTTTCTTTAACTAATTGTGTAATATCAAGTTTATAATCAACATTAAAGTCCCTAATTAAAGGGGTCGATATACGCATGCTTTAAGTATATTATTGTTTTCTTTATTATTTATTTCGATCCATGCAGCATAATTTCTTCTAAGTTTACAATTAATTCTCTGTGAACAAATGGGATTCCTTCCTTTACATAAATTATTACTCCTCCACCATCACATTTTTTAATGAGAATTATTTTTTTTTACAAATGTGTATCTATATATTATTAAAGAATCACTGTATGTTTCATTCAACCAAGTTTCTGTTATAATAAGTATATCTATTTGTAGTTTTGATAGTATACATTCAACTTAATTAAGTTTATTTATAATACGTCGCACGTTAGGGTTTCCTATTTTTAATTCATGGACCTTATTCAACATTTGTTGTACAGTATTCTGTGATTTTATATTTTTCCCCTTTTTATTTGGCTCATTAACGTTCATATATTTTTATTCCTTATTACCTCTGTATTATCATTAGTATAGCTTTTATCGTTAGTACCATCATCATCATCATCATCACCACCCTCAACATCATTGTCGTCATTATCAGCAGTAACATATTAGGGATTGGCAATCAAAATAACGTTATTTGGATAGGCAAATTATTATTTTGTTCCTCCCTGACCCACCCATAATTTTTTCAAAAGCCCAGTATGGTGTACTTTTGTATTACGGTGACGGCGTCAAGATTCGTTAAATTGGGTTTACAGTAATCAAACTGGGTTTTGGCAAACTTCACGGGTTTCGTCAGTATGGGTTGTCATGCTTCCATGAACTGGATTACCGGTATGCATATCAGTCTTCTTAATAAATATTTTAAACATTTTTCTGCATTTTTAATGCTCTTTTTTAATGTTCAACTTTAACCATTTTCATTTTACTGTATTTTGTGTATTGTACGTTTTTATACTATTCTGTGTCTTAACGTACGAATGTACTGTGTTCTTTTAATGTGAACGCACCACTTGATAGTGTGTGCCACTGTTACAAAAAAGTGTACGGTTCAATAAATTATTCTGCAAACTGGGTTTCAGCAAAGTGGCCATGGACGCGGTAAACTTCTTCATTATCAAAAGGCTCTTGATAAAAGCAACGAAGAAAACAATACAATTGCAATTTTAAAATAGTGTGAATTTGCCTATTATGAAAATTATTGGTGGATTGCTTGACTAAAATTGAAGCACATTCAACATTGCAACAGAAGATGTCTCACAAATATCTGCCGGGAATGATTTCCACAACTTCGTATCAATTACAGAGAAAGGGCCTATCATCGTTGGTCTATGAAACGCGAGACTGTAACTGTATAATAGTGTTGATAATTACATTAATATCAATTAAGAGGGTAACAGAATCAAGTGCAAATAAATAGTGTGAACTATATGCATACTTCACATTGATGATATTAACTTATAAAGATCATAATTGAAAATAAATAAATAGAATAATAACTAAAAATATAGACACTTTTAACCAGGACCCCAAAATAAACAATGCACCTATTCCAGGCTTTCATCGTCTTTACTCGGTCCGGGCATGGTATGCTATAAGTGATTAACAATTTGGTTAGATACTTTCTAGCGTACAGTATTTCTGGTTTCATGTGTAAATGTTTAGACGATTTATTTTATTTTTTTTATTGTAAGTGCATACGCAATTTAGCTCTGACTGCCATGCATGCTTTTTATGTTAATAAAGTATACTGAAATACTGTATATATAATTCTTGTAAAAAAGAGAGTACATGCTTTAATGTTTTGTATCATCTGGATACTAATAAATACTGATTTACCACGCTGCAACAAGTCCGAAGTTCTATGTACAATACTTTGTACATAGTAATTTTAGCAATACATGCCTGACGATTTAGATGCCTGCCTGCCAATCCCAAGGTCCTGGGTTCAACTACACTCTTTAAGCTCATAAGACAATTGATTTACATAAAAACATCACTGAGCCATCCTGTAAGTGATGTTGGATACGTAATTAAAAATTAAAACAACACATTTTATAAGTTATATATTTAATCCACTACAGTATATACAGACAATTTTTCTGAAAAAAAGGTCTTCCATGATCTTTCTAATTAAATGCAATGCCATCTGTTTCATCTATCTTCATTTTGTACTGCATACGATACACTTAAGTATACTTTAAACAATACTTTCAATTCATTAATCTAAGCATTACATTTGTGGTATTATTTTTTTGTTTTAATTAAATTTATAAGGTATTCAGCCGCTAAAAAAACAAAAAAAACAAAACAGCAAAATTTACAAATACACGTAATAAAAAATTATAAAATTGTTTTATAACTATAACAAATTAAACTGAATCTTTTAAATTACATATCCTTGGCCAACATCAACATACTTTTTATAATTATTTTTTTTTAAACTGAAATACTAATTCTTTTAGATTAAGAATAATTTGTTATGCATTATGTAGTATGTGGAAAATATCAATAAACAAACAAAACAAATCAACACAATCAAATATTATGTAAGAGCAGTTTAATCTACTGTACACAGTCATTGTGTGTAGTTTAATCAATTTCATTATATTGGAAATTGCAATACAGTTTATTTGTTTTTGTATTTGTGTAGACAAAGAGCAATTGTACACAAAACATTGATAGCAATAAAAATATGAAATTGATTAATTATTGCTGATACATTGAACAATTTTCAAGTATGGATAAATATAAAATTATGTTTTTTTTTTAAGAATTCCCAATGGTACTGTATATCAAAATATACTACTGTTATTAAAAAGTTTTCTCATACTATTAAAGAAAAAAGTATATAATTAAATAAAACAACACATCCTATGATTATATTCTATATTATTTGAAATATATACATTACGGGTGACGAATTACAATATAAGTAGTGTATGTACTGTATTTGTTATGTTATTATATTCAATTCACAGTGGGAAGCCTGCCCTTACAGAATGCAAATGTGTGACTAACAGTATAGTACTGTATATACTGTATTTAAAAAAAAATGCCATGATTATATTTTAGATTAATACTGTTTTTCAAAAAATATGTGGTTCATGTGACTCGTAGTTTTAAGTAACAAATTTCATACAAAATCCTGGATGGTATACTCCAGAGTCTAATTTAAGGAAAATATACTTTAACAGGAAAATCCAAGGGCAATTATCTGTCATTTAAAAAAATTATTTTTACAAACATTTGTTTTGTAAGATTTTTTTGGTTCTTTCAATATAAAAAAAAATCTTCTAATTGCACTTGATAAATATTCATATTGGACAGAAGTTTATGGACGGAGATAAAAAAAATTTCCTGAAAGACAGTAGAAATATTTATAGTGTACTGTGATCATCTTTTTCAGAAAGATATTATAAGCAAATTACTGTAAATTATGAATTGAACTGTCCTATATAAAAGAGAATGAATATGAATGGAATACTCTTCAATGGTAAAATGATTTGATATTTACAAACAGATAAAAAAAGATAAAACCAGCTTACATCATAAAACAAAATGTAATACAAGTCTCCCTCTAGTTAAAGACTCCTCCAATTAAACTTTTTTAATTAATCAACCAATTAATCAACTTTTTTATGGTTCCAAATTAACAAATTTTGATTATTATAATTAGAGATCTAAACTTCTAAAGACCATGGAAAACCCAGTCCCAAAAATGGTCTTTATTGGAGAGAGACCTGTATTTGCAATAGTTTTTTCTTCAATTAAAAAGTAAGAACACGTTAAAATTGATGGGATTTGATGAATACAAAAACAAATAAATAATGATTTTTCAATGAACAGCGGAGGATACAAGAAGAGCTGGGAGTGCATGCCCCTTGTTAATCCTTCCCTCCCTTACAGCTGTTAGATTTTCTTTGGCTTAAATGAGTGAAAAAGTGGTTCATTTGGATCAAGAACAAAATCTACTCTTGAAGTCTGGTAAGTAGCAAGGACAGTTGCCCGTGAACGACACTTGCTGCTAATGCTTTGCAGAGGCATCGGAGGTTCACTGAAAACAAACAAAAAATTCTCAACTCAAATTATTCCACTCTAGACCAACAACTACTAACAGGATATTTATAAGAAAATGCAATGATACGGTTGTGTATTTCCACCCTTTAGTTCGCCTTTAAGGTTTATAAGAATCTATGGCCATAATAAAACACTGGTTTTCATTATATCACTGTAAGTTGAATATTGTTGGACCTGGTTAGTACATGGATGGGGGTGCCCCAAATAGCAGCTTTGTCCTCGTCACTGGATCAAATTCAACACTTTACTGCATGGCCAGCAGAATGATGCCTATGGAGATTTTTGTATGATCAGATAAAAAAACAAGAAAAGAAAGAGGGAAGAAGGAGGGGAAAGAGAGTGTCTATCCGGTCCCCGACTGAGTAATTTTCAATTAAAATTCAATTTTCATCACTGTGCGTGATATCTTCTTTGCGGACGAAAAAAAAATTTTTTTTTGCACACAAACCTAAAAAAAATCAAGCCAAGCTTCCACTGATTGTCCACTGATTGAAAAATTATTGGACTGCGAGGAATAGGCAAATAACATTGTTAGTTGCAGTGATGACGTCACGATTGACTTGTAATGTTCTTTATTGCATCCTCTTAATTGCGATTTTCTCTATGGGTTTTGTAAAAGTTAAAGAACATTTCAAAATTCAAAACAAATGTTGCCTTACCTGTTATCTACATCGACCTTAGCAGTCTTATATTTCATGAAACTTTTAATTCTTGGGTATCTCCAGACTACGACAACAATCACAAGAATGAGAGCAACCACAATGACTGTGAAGCATATAACGATTGTGGAGACTGTAGCATGCTGGGCTACCTCAACCGGTGTGCTCTTGTCAAATTCAGCTGGAAATAAGTAAGCAACGGTAACTGGTTAATATATAGTGTTGTTTAAAGGCTTGCATGGCGAAGTAATAGCATATATGTTGAAGCTTGTGTGGTGTACTGCAAGCTTCAACATATATGTGGCAAAGACAAGCCAAACCAGTCACTCGTCGCAAAAACCAATTTTGAGTTATTAATACAGGGTTAAAGAGTAAAATAGGAGCTATACAATGGAAAAAAAATCATTAAAATCCGACATTTCCTTATAAAGTTACGAGCGTTTTAACATACAGCTATTTAAAGAACAATATATAAGAAATCAGCCTTTAAAGTTTATGATTTCAGGCATTTCCCATGCAGAAACTATCATCAAATCCTTAAAAATTGTTGTTTTAACTTCGAAAATGGGGAAAATAACAGCATAGCATGATGTATAGATATATAAAGCTTAGTTTAGTGCAATAAAATAGATTTTTTTAAATTTGACATTCAAGCATGTTTTGGCACTAACAATGATGACATCAATAGCAGTGACGACATCACTAGCAATGCTGACATCACTAGTATCATTAGCAGTGATGACATCACTGGCAATGATAACATCACCAGAAATGAAGATATCACTAGCAATGCTGACTTCACTAGAAATAAAGATATCACCAAACAATGATGAAATCACTAGGATCAATAGCAGTGATAACATCACTAGCAATGATCATATCACTAGCAATAATAACATAACTGAAGATATTACTAGCAATGATGACATCCCTAGTATGATGATAACACTAGCAATGGTGACATCACTAGGATCAATAGCAGTGATGACATGACTAGCAATGATGACACCACCAGAAGTAATGGAATACAAACTTACTTTCACAATGTATGCCTTCCCATCCTCCTTCACAAACACATGTGAAACTGTTAATTTCATCCCGACAGCGCCCTCCGTTGACGCACGGATTGGACTCGCATTCATTAATGTTGATTTCACAGTGTGAACCTGAAATAAATTGTTACAATTAAAATCATTATACAGATGAAATGCATATAGCCTGTTGCAATGCACTCTACAAATTCATAGCCATGAAACCATTACTGTATTGGAAATGAACATCACAATAATATAATGAAATATTGTTTATCTTTTAATGAATTTCTATAGGAGCACATACAGATGGCTAGATGAATGCGTTTGGAATATATGTAAACCCTGAGATAAAAATAAACACAACAGGAGGAAATTCAATCAAATATTTTACTAATCTAGACCTATAGATCCATCAATGGCCATTGTGGTTTTTGATTGTCATTTTGATCGGGCAAAAGACCAACTCATTCAGATATTCTCTTCTAGAAACTTTCTATCATAATTGCCTAAATGCAGACATGCCATCACATGAGCACATGCCATCACATGAGCACATGCCATCACATGAGCACATGCCATCACATGAGCACATGCCATCACATGAGCACCCCAAGATGGATAGAGATGCATGAAGAAGTGTTGTATCATAAATTTCAACCGAGGCTATGAGAAAATAATGAAATTTAAAGTGATTTGACATGCATCTAAACACTTTCCAATTTATATTTCATATTATTTAAGGACATTTTATTTTCACTCATTTATTCTTTGGTATCTTTATTAAAAACCACATGCAAATGCAGTATAAAACTGAAATGGAGCACCTTTTACAAGTTAAACACCAAACCAGATAAACATTTGAAAGGACAGAAAAGGAACCAATCATAACATACCTCTAAAGCCTGCGGCACATTCACACTTAAAGAAGTTTCCATAATCGACACACACTGTAGCATTGCGACACGGATCGGCTGCACAGAGGTCCACCTTGCCTTCACAGTGCTCACCTATGTAGCCTATGCCGCAATCACACTCATACCCATCAAGCCTATCGATACAGAAGCCTTCGTTGAGACAAGGGCTGGATATACACTCGTTGTACTCTATCTCACAGTTGTTACCAGTATACCCTAAAAACAATAAAGAATTCATGAAATGACTATATTATATATACTGTATGTTCCTCTGTAGTATATTTGTTGATGTATAAAACAATTAATAGGTCAAATATGATACAAAATTCTTCTCATTGTATTAAAGTATTTGTCATCTGGTTTGAAAGAGTGAGAATATTTTTACTTGAGATACAGTAGTGTTACATCCACTCAATATCTGTATACCATTATGTAACTAGCACATAGATTAATATAAGCTTGGGGTTCTTTAAATCTTAACTTTATTATCACACTGACCACCAGGGGTTTGAAAAAATAGTATCAGATAGAATTTAAACACTTTTCTGAAGCTCGTTGAGAGTGTGTATGAGATCAGATTGACATGTAATAAATACTACAAGAACTACATACATCTTAGCTTTACAATGGTACCAAACACTTTATTCTAATCATAGTAGGCGAGTAAAGCAGTAAGGCAAGGGTGCCGCTGGCTACAGCCTTAACATTAGCGCTAGTTCCAGCTGCTCCTCGCCAATGGTTCGGTTGGTAGAACCAAGTAATAAGGACTTAAAATGGAGGTCCAGTGTATACATCTGGCTCGTGTGCACTTTAAAGAACCCATTGCATCTTTCGGAAGAGGGGGGGTTACCCCGATGTTATGGTTCATTTCAGCCCCTGTCGTTGTGGAATGATGTGTAGCTACTATGAATCACCTCTTTACAGCCGTGTTTGGCAGGCAGAGTGTTAAGAAAACTGGGCCATTTCGTAAAGCAGTACTGTGTTACCAAAAATGCTATCCAGTCAAAAAAACGAATAAATAAAATAAATAAATAATAAAATAAGTTTAAATTTTCATGATTAAGTGAGTAATATGTGGGGTTTTTTTTCAAGCTAAATATTTCATAATTTAGAGTAACAGGGTTCTTTGAAGATGTTTCATGATGTAAACTTAGCTTACTTATGATACTTTTTATTATGTTTGTTTCATCACATGTTTATCATATTCATCACATATTTTTTATCACATTTTCATCACACATTCATCGCATGTACCTGGTATACAGTAGCACTGATAGCCATTTAATTCATCGACACAGACACCATGCTGGCAGGGATCACTGGCGCATTCGTCGACATCTACTTCACAGTAGATGCCACTCTTTCCAGGCGGACACTGGCAGAGGTACCCATACGATGTATAACCTTCTTGAATGTCTAAGCAGGTTGAGCCTTCAGCGCACATGTGGTTTATACAGCCATCGTACTCATCACAATGAGGTCCTGTGAACCCCTCACAACATTTACACGAATAAGTTCCCTTAGAAAAAAAAAAGACAAATAATATTTATATATTGAACTTAAAAGTGTAGAAGCATTGAACATTAATATTCTTTATTATATTATTATCTTACTTACAGCAAAGAAGGCAGAGAAATTAAAAACAATACTAAAATAGCAAAATGCTGTATAGACATGAACAGTGTTATGAAGAGATTGAGAATTAAACAAAAATGTTTGGGGTATAAAATAGGGAAACTGAACAATTACACCTAGAGGTATTTTAAAACAAGGGCTAAAAAATAATTATAATTTACTTTATCCTGTATAAAACTACAGAAGATTTGATATTGCTAAAATAGAAAATTCATTTCTTCAAAAGAAATTTTTCTCTGCAGCCCAACTTGAAATGATAAGGGTGAAGGAAGGATGCCATGTGTGAATGAACTTACCTCCGTCTTATGCGTGATACAGATACCATTATCCATACAATACATGCCCTCCAGTGAGTGTGGGAAGTGACATTTGTTCGGTTTTATAGTTACATTCAAACGCAGACCATAACGACAGTTGAATATTTCACCTGAATTCACTGACAAATGCAAATGATGACATATGCAAATGATAATGAAATATGCAAATGAAATGAGATGCAAATGATAATGGCATAGAATAAGGTTACACATGGACTGTTCCTCACAGAAAAAATGCCAAAAGTTGATTACTTTACAGTATTTGAACAATGTTATAAAGTCAATATCTACCAAATGGAATGATACGTACATTAAGACATAGAACAGTTTCAATAACTTTGGGTATAATTAATCTCACCTAATTTCAAATGTCAACTAATCAGGGCCATGAATTTAACAAATGATAATCTACTTCTAAATTTTTTAAATGTACTGTACTTACCTATAAAAAAATTGGAGCCAGGAGAGAGAAATTGCTGATCGACAATAAAGGGTTCGGAGGTCGGAGTTGAGATAACTGGTTGACCTGCAGCTGTTGAGCAAGAATTGAAATCAATAGCATCAACCTTATATGGCTGCATGGTCAGACGACGACTCGGAGTAACTTCACTTGGTATGAACCTGAAAATAAACATATAACCAATTTCGACAATTACTTGACAAATAAATACTGGGTAAAATTTGGTTTTTGACTAAACAGGAAGTGGACAGGAGACAAGAAAATAATTTATTATTTTACTTGGCTTTATAAACTGTTTTTAGTTTACTTTTCAAGTTAATAAACAAGGACACCACAGGACTTAAACTGACTCCACTAAATTAAAAAGCAAGGCACGTGAATCCATTCTTAATTTGCCTGAGTGTCATATGCTTTTGAATTGAACTGCATATTTTTTATTACAAGATTTGAACTTAAACCACTAAATTTAAAGCAAGGCACTTGTCCTGAGTGTCACTGTATTTACCTCAGAGTCATACCCTCTTGAATTTCAACAGGTGATAGTTGCACATTCATCACATGATCAACAGTCATGTTAAACCCGAAGCATGTTACCTCTGAATTACAGTTGTGTTCATAGCCCCATGTGACATTGATGTAAGATCCAGCTAGGTTGTCTTCCCAGGCTATCATCCCAGTCTCTAAGGCAATGTCACATTCCCCAGGCTGTTTAAAAACAAAACAAAAAATAAACTGTTATTTACATATATTTAAAGTTTATGTGAATTGTCCATGCATGATAATGTCATATCACACATCCATATATGACATGGTGATGTCACTTCCTGCAGTCATATACCGTGATACTTTTTTTATTTATTTTATTTTTTAAAATTTTTATATCAAAAACACTAATAAAAGAACACATTAAAGATTATTTATTAAATAATCTGAAAACCATTTTAGTGGGATTCCTCTTATACCATAGAACCTCATCTTATTTAACAATATATCATTTACATGATTTACTTGATTCCCAGAGGATGTAACTGTAATCATGGGTATAGAAGCCAAGCATACAATGCTTATTGGCCCCTCGATGAACAATCTATACTATTTCGTGTACAGAGCAAATTTTACCGGGTGGTCAGCCCAATGCCTCTCAATTGCAGATTTAAACATATTTAGGGATGTAGCATTAACATCTTCCTCAGACAATAAGTTCCAATTCTTAATAATTCACCTTGAGAATGTCCTTTTCCTCAGATTAGTTCTAGAGTAATGGTGCTTTAATTTATATGAATGGCCTCTAGTGGCACTATCAACATTAAAATAAAAAAAATAATCCTTAGAAATATTATCAAAACCATGAACAATTCTAAACACTTGCAATAAATCTGCACGCTGTCTTCGATACTTTAGTGTTGGAAGATTTAAGGCTTTCAATCGTTCCTCATATGGAAGATGACGATATTCAGGAAACATCCTAGTAGCACGCTGCTGTACCTTCTCAAGAAGGTCTTCATCTTTCTTAAAACTTGGAGAATATACAACATTGCAATACTCTAAAATAGGTCTGACAATAGATTTATACAACTTTAAATGCCCTTTAGATTTTAGAAAATGAAAAGATCTTTTAGTCATTCCTACAGTAATTTCATATTGGCTCTTTTTGAGATGTCAGCAACATGCACCGCAAAGTTTAAGCTACGATCAAATATAACGCCCAAATCTTTTTCGTTAACCACAGCTTCAAGCATAAAATTGTTCATAAAATAAGAAACACAAGGATTTTTCCTACCGAAATGGATAATTTTACATTTATTTTCATTAAATGGCAACTGCCACTTTTTAGACCACTCACATAATGCATTAATATCTGACTGTCAGCTTACACTATCCTCATGTGAATCCACAATTCTAAATAGTTTTGTGTCATCAGCAAACAGTTTTACTTCTGAATCTGTAACCGATGGTAACCGAGTCTGTAATCGATGGTCAAGTCAAGTCAAGAAAAACGCCTAGAGTAACCTCTTTATTGTCAATAGCATTAGTAATCTTTTCAATGGATTGGAGTAAGGCATGGCTAGTTGAATGATTTTGTCTAAACCCATACTGTGCTGAGCTTAGGATATTAAATTTTGAGAGATAACAAAGTGTTTGATCGTAGACCAATTTATACATTGACATTGTTTAGCAAACCCCGCCACCTGCCAATAATGATGATTTTGAATAAAAATATATTATATTTTTGGCCAATTAGCGAACCCGCCACAACAAAAAAATGGAAGTTAAAAAAAAAATAATAAGATTTTTTATTTTTTTATTTTGTCCGCCACTGCCTTGAAATCTCATAATACAAGATATGTAGGCCTATACATCTTTGTAAACATAAAGCATTCAACCATCCCATTGCTAAACATTTACCAATAAAAATGTTTCTTATTTTCGCCTTATTTGTATTCAAGCACCTTCCCCACTAGCTTGGCTGGCCCTTCTACTATTGCCGCCAGTGTGTGGCTATTTTTTATGGGTCGATAAAGCATGGGTACCGTATGGTATATCGATAATAACCCTAAACCTCTTCAGCGTACGGCACAGTATTTTTTGACACAATAAATGTGGGATACCCTGGCTCTACTACTTGGCTAGTAGTTGGCCCTAGGTTGTGTCGTCAGTTTCTGTGGTTATTTTTTATGGGATTGGCAATGCGTAGGCCTACATACGTGGGTACGACATTAAACTCCATCAGTTCGAAGCGTCGGCGACTAAACTGACAACCCCCTATGTCTTAGTGGCTGCTGAGGGGAGGGTGTTTATGGTCACCCAGCAGCAAGAAAAACCAATAGCTGAACAAATGGCGGATGAGTCAACGGCCAACCATTAATTACTGTAGTTTAAGGAATAGGAGTAGTTTTAGCCTCATTGTTATTATTGTTATTTATTATGATTATTATTATTATTTTATTTTATACTTATTATTTTATTGTTATTTGTATTTTCTCGGTTGGCCTATACTATTTCTGTGGCATTGCAAAAATGATATTTTGGAAATTATTTCTTTACTAAATAAAAATAATTTAAATATTATTAATTAACCCTAATCTAAGTATAGAATGATGTAAATAATAAATTATATTAAATTTAATTTGTTAAGTTCAAAAGTATAGATAGAAACATAACAAAACAAGAAAACTGTGTGTTGAAAAATTATGCAGTAACCAATTACAGTAGACCTACTATTAACACTAAAATAATTGAAAAAGTGTATACTGTAATTAATGATATTTTTTTACCTTCAATAATGAAAATTATTATTATAAGGTAGTAAATATGAAAATAATAACCACATATATTGGCAATAAATAATAATTGGAGTTAATTCATCTACAGACAGTATTTGTAATAAAAATTAACAATAAAATAACAGTATGGAACTTTCTAGTTTTTTAGTAGAGTGGCAAAATCTAAGTAAATAGATTTAATAAAATAATAAATATTATAAATTTATATTTTGAAATTTATCTTCTAAATGACTCATTAATGTGCCCACATAATGTACAGTACCTCCACCCTGCCTGTGACTCAGTGAGGCTGTACAGCCTGGCAAACAACTGCATAAAATCAATATGAATGGCCGCGGTTGATTTGAGATTTGCATTACAACAAAAGAAGATTTCATTACAACCAGCATATGGTGAGGAATAACAAACACGACACGAATATTATTAAAACAGTACGGTGTGTCATTTACACTGTTTAAGATGACCAAATGCAAACTGAATACCTCAGCTCTTTGCTAATAAATCAGAGATTTTATGTTAAAAAAATATTATGTTGTTCTTATGGGCACATCCTCAATATTTATTATTGTTTGTATGGTTCAGATTTAAACACAACTTTTACTAGTAAAGTTACATGACAAGAAAAACACTCACGTTTCATCCTAGGCCTAGATAATACAAAAAATAAATGTGTTTACACTTCCTTCAGCAGATTTTGAAGGAACATTTTACTGATGTTTAATATTTGCTATACTTGACGACTGTACATGAATATTAATTTTATCTTATTTTCTTATTGATGATTGTATATTATAATTTATATTTAAATGACGATTGGTGAATACTGTATTTTTGGAAGTGACAACTGTACATAAAGATTTATAATTAATATAATATTTTTAATTTTGAATAATAATAATAATAATATTGAATATTTTAAATTTTTATCCTATCAATTTCTTTATTTTCGACGATTGTACAGGATTTTATAATTCTATTTAGATATGCATTTTTTCTGTGTGGCTTTTTAAATACTTGCTAACTTTCATTGTTTCCTGTGAACGCTTTGGTTTGTATTGCCTTTGTTGGCAGGAGTGCGGTAGCACATCACTTGACAATTTTTAAACTTTTGCTTATTCCTCGGTATCCCTGTTCAACCTTTTTTGTTCTTGTTGAAAGATTGAAAATAAAAAAATAAATAAATAAATCATCATGGTCTACTTAACATGCACATTCGCAAACAAACAACATTTTGACAAAAACATCTCCATCATGATAAAATGGCATCATCTGTAGCCACAACAGTGGTGTTTAGGCTATTTAATATGGGATGCGATGAGGTGGAAGAGTTGGATGGGGGTGAAGGAGTGGGAAGTGTAGAGGGGCGGGAGTGGTGGAGGAGCAGGAGGGGAGACAAAACAGGATGGTATACTAGAGGAAGGGGTTCAGGATGTATTGGAGGGCCATAATTTTTAAATGTGTGGATGATACCTCAAAAACCAGCTCAAACTTGCACAGAAAATTGATACCTGAAAATAGGTGTGCAGAATTATTATAATTACTGAGTAAATAATAGGCCACATTGCTGTTATATACGATTCGGTTAAAAAAAAGAATTTTCCTAGTCACTGGCCTCGACTACTACTATAGCCTAGGCCCAGCCTAAGGCCTACCTAGGAGACCTAGGCCCTAGGCCTAGATACTGTTGCTGGAGCCTACCTACACTATTTAGGTTAGGCCTATCCTGGGGCCTGGGCCCTACTCTAGGCTATTAATTAGCAAGATATAACAAGGCTAGGCCTAAGACTACCCTAGGCCCTAGTGATTCATTCGTAAATTTGTTAATCTTACCTGCATAATATTGGAGATTACATCATTGGTTAGTTGTAATAAACATATACATATGTGTACTATTACAGTAAAACGCTCCATAACTCAACCGTTCTAATAGTCCCAACAATAATCGTGGAATCTGGAGACTCACTTTGTTGCCAAACGACGCGACGCTAACTTTTTTAATTTCTAATAAAACTTAACAAACGCCCTCAGACCTCCACGATAAACAATCAAAGATCTATCATCGAATCATTAACATTAGAGTATGTAGGCCTACAATGAAATCAAATGATCAAAATCACACACCTGTATACACTCATTGTGAAAAAAAAAATTAAGGTTCTATTAATTGTTATTCGTATTAATTACTACTTTGTTCTTGTTGAAGCACACAGGAAATGGCATACAAACGAAATCAACAATTAAAAAAAAAAAGAAAAAAAAAAAGGCAGGCAATTTGGTCAATTATTCACATACATCCACTAGTAGAACTACTTTCTTTCATTTTTTTTTAAAAATTTCACATTCTACTGCATGTACAGTTATAGAATAATATAATCAAACCAGTCCCTGGATATAACAATGCTTTAAAAACCTGGTCGCGTCATTGGGGCCTATGGAGTGCAATAGCGGGTTTTATTTTTGGAAAAAAAAGTCCTGCTGTGATAGGAATTGATCGAACCCATGACCCTGCGATGATGATGATGATGATGATGATGATGATGATGATTATTATTATTATTATTATTATTATTATTATTATTATTATTATTATTATTAAAATACTTATAATGGTCACATTATTAAGAAGACACAACAATAATTGTTACTTAACCAATATCCTGAGGCGCGTGGAACGGAGATTATTACTATTAGGCCTATTATTGTTTTACGCACATGTACGTATAATGCTGTGGAACCTTAGCAAACATATCCAAGGGCCGGGACTTAGCGCGGTGAGCCTTGTTAACCCAGAGTCCTGGTTCAATTCTTGTAAACTTTCAGGAATATGTTTTTCACGAACAAAACCATCTCCACTCCAATTAAGTTGTTATTTCACAAATTAGAGAAGGCCTAGCATAGCTAAGGGAGTTACTGCAGGTCTTTTTTTTAATATATATTTTTCTTTTTTCTGTTTTCTTTTTCATTTATAACCCATGAAAATTGCCAGCTGACCTACCGTGACCTCAGCCCCTGTCAATAATAGCTACAATAGGAAAAAATATCAGCCTTTTCCGCCTGGCTGATGAGTTTCGGTCTTCTTTGTATACTATTTCTCAGGCGTTACAATTACTATATTAGATAAGACTCCATTTGATGATATTTGTTTTTGATAGCAAAACATTATAAGGTACGAGAGTTAACTTCATATACAACCGTATTATGTGTTAATTAAACAGTGTGCATTGTTGCTACCGGAGCTTAAGACCTATCCTACTGTTCAATAAATCCTTTGCTGATTAAGAAGTTGGAGGTAGCGGTAAATTTGCAATTATCTTTTTGTTTATGAATATTTTTAACTTACATTTTACTGCGCCTTTGTCACATGCGATAATAACGCTGATAAGTACCGACGATTGATTGATTGAATGATAACAGGATTTATTCCATCTAATAAATGAATCAATTAATTACTTAATTGTCGGTATTTCACCAAGCACTACCGCTATTGTTGGATGGTCTAATCATAGAGAAAACATCACTGAGAACTAATTAGCGCCTACATTTACGACCAAAAATGAAAATTCGTTTGTCATTTCCAAATTTTTGGATGAATAAAGTGATGTCTTTGTCATCACATGATCCTACACATCACGAAATTCAGGCACAGGGCTAAGGATTGTCAATAGCACACTTGATTACTGCTTTACTCCCATGCGGCAATCTCCGTACAAAACAATCATACAGACAAGATGCTCAGAGCTATAAACTAATTATTGAGTTACTAATGGTAATGGATGTGTGAATCATATCGCTGTCTGTAATTATATTCGAAATCTTATCATGAATAATGTTTGTATAGCCTTGAGTGAGATATAGCGAAATGAAAATTATTAGGATAAAATATTATATAAGGCCAAGACTCTTAGGTAGAATTCATTTATGCATTCGTAGTCAAATTATTTTGATCTGAGGGGAAACATATACTGAGCGTAAGTATGTTATAACATCGGGCGAAGAATAGTACATCGTTAAGCCGCCGTCCACTGCGCCGACGGTTGCGACCCACACTCGCGAGAACGTGGCGTGAGCAGCGGATCGTTTTTATTAACGTAGTTTTTAATTGTTGATTGCACCACGTTTTTAACGCAATTCATTCTGGGTGTCACCGACAGTCCAAATGGATTGGCAAATGCGTCGGAGAAGGCGCAAGCGCGGAGGAATTCGTCGGCCGTCGTCCCGGTCGATGACAACGTTCTTCCGAGTTTTATCATAAGCATATGTTTATTCATATCTTATTCTTATCTACTTTCCTTTATAGAAACTATGAAGCAAGCATATATTATACTTTTTAATTTTATACACTGTCTGGTGGTAAATCAGGCCACTATTGACCCACCTCCATACCAGATTGACCCGTTGTTGCTTTCAAACCAAGCGAATACCTTGTCAGCCTATCCCGTTAGCATTGATTATCTTGGCACTGGCTACAACTTGCAATACGGAAATCCACACGGAAGCCCGATAACCGCTGGACGAGACCCAGGTCTAAGGCCAACATGGAAGGTCTTTGATTGGACGTTCGAAGAGCATGGTTCGACACCAGATCAGGTCACCTTCGTTCCGGGATCAAGCTGTTCATCCGAACTGTCTCTAGAGCTGTATCACAATGCTTACGCGTATGCATCCACATTGGAAAAAGAAGTTACGTTCTCAGGTAGGATTTTAAAAATTGGTTCCTCAAATTATGAATCTTCCATAAAACTTTTGCTCCTCAGTTGTTCAAAATACTGTCGCTTATGCCTATACAGTCGAAATAAAACATTTTCATAATTATCATCATACATCCTTATCATCATCATCATTATCGTCATCATAATCATCATACATCGGCAGCACCACATCACTATCATTTCAGTTGTCGTTGAATAATTATCCATGCACTTACATCGAATTTGATTCGTTAACAGTCGGTGCTCGTTACAAATATGGGAAGACCAAGTTCAGTCATAGCAACTGTAAGTTTCTAATTCTTTAGTGATATATTATCCATCTTATCTCTGTAATATAACATGATACAATATAAATGCAACAAGTTCGAATTGCTAAATTTGAAAGTATCATGAAACTTATTAGTTTGGCCTACTAAAATAATTTTACGATTAAAGCTTTCACATCGGAACCGAACCGAAATGCCAGCGTCCCTATTCCTACATACTGATTCGATCGATCAATCAATCAATCAATCAGAGTTACAGCGCCAATGTCCATAGTGCGAAATTAATGTTCAGTGGTGCTCAGAATATGCGAATCTTTTCTTGAAAATTTGTATATTGGGGGAATTAATTAATGTTCTCAGGAAGAGAATTCCACAATTGAGATGCATCACTGGAAAATGATCGGTGACCAAATGAATGGAGTTTCCATATTCTTGGCACGTTGTGTGAATACACTTTTATTCCTTTCAATTACATTTTTTTTGTAGATTACAAAGAAACGTCTGCATCCATGGGATCGAATACTAACCTTTATTATGAAGAGAACACATTGTGTTACCTTGGCGAGGCGCAGCTAATGACAGTGGACGCGCATTTTAAGAAATTTCCACTGGAAGACACTTTCGTTGCACGTGTCAATCGGCTTCCAACATTGTACTCAACGAACAATACGGATTACATGCTTTTCATACATGATTATGGAACTGTGAGTAAATCAATTTTGATTTGTCAAAGTGAATAAGTTAAATAATCATAATACTATTATTAGGTTATTATAGCCAGGCTCTGGTGGAAAAAACATTTTTTTACATTGTGTACAACTGATTTTCTAAGACAAAAAAGGGTTCTGTTCGACGAAAAACTCGGAACGGTTAATGAGATACAGATTTTTGAATACAGTAACAACGGGGGTTGGGGGAAGGTAGAAGGGGTAGTTACACAATGATATTATGATTAACAATTATAATATATGAATATTAAAATCAATATTTGCTATTACACTAACAATCAATTTATCAAAATGTTTATTGTTTACTAAAGAAATACAAACACAAAATATATTCAATACTCGTTCACCGATGGTGTTCTTTAACTAGTTTGTGAGATATTTTTGTTTTAATACAATGATAACATCTCATACTCTAATAAAATAATTTTTTTATATATAAATACTTCTGATATGAATAAACTAATATCACATTGTTAGTAACGCCTATAAAATCATAAAAACAACATGCGTCTGAATGTTGCTTACACTGCAATCAGACCAGTAATACATGTACTTTGTAACAACAACTGTTTGATAAATTAATAATATACTCATTCAACTGGTACACTACAAAGAACTCTTATCCTTATGAGGCCGGCCAACTATTGGAAAAGTGCAGTAACAGACTCGTTTTTTACAGCATGTCCTGAGTTTTGTGTTTATGGGAACGAGAGAAGTGAAGCGATATAAATGGACAAGTTCGGCATTTGTTGAGTACTCTGCTGAGCATGTAAGTATAGGCCTAGATCACCTGGTTTACTTCATCAGTATTTTCTTATGGTAATAATCTATAGTAGAGTTTCCAAATCCTAAACGTACGGTGTAAGACTAGAAAAAAATATGTTCTCTGTATAGGATGTTGCACTTAAAAGAATTAGGTAGAGCGAAGTTGGTAAGTAGTGTGTAAAAGGATTTTGAAACTTCATTATGCTATTTGTAAACTTTCATTTTGACTTTTAAAGTAGTTTATGCTTTTACTGATAGTATTCGCCTAGCGTCAGCCTGGGGGGAAGTTACAAAGGTTTCGGAGGTTCAATTAGTGTCGACATCGATAATGTTAAAGTGACAATGGACACGGGATTCAACACTGGCTTTTACGTAGAAACCATATCCCTAGGAGATGATAACCTTGCCATGCCTTTTTCGTATACACTGATGGGAATGGAGGAGATTTTCCAGGAACAGTACTGGCAGTTGAACGATGACTACGTTAAGGCGGGAATTTTGTCGGCAGACTTCTACGGCCGGCTTGATGAAATGAAACTCAACGTAGAGCAGGCGTTAGCAGACTATCCAGTTTGGCTAAAGAGCGTTGATGCAATTGAAGGTAATTTTAGTGATGACGAATTCCCTTAGGAATGTTCAAATAACTTCATTTGGTTTCTACTTAGGAATATTATAATAATATAGAGTTATTTTATGAACATTAAAATAGGGGAGTCTTCCCGAAGAATATGCGTGAAGAGATTTTAAAAACATTTGGAGATTATATGCCGATTTAAACCCGTTCAAATAATCCAAGCCATACTAACATTGTACACTATGTGTTTGTACATACAGACGAGTACCTCACAATTCCAATTACCTGGCCAGTTGGGGCCTATGGCTTACCAAAGACCAACACCGGATGTCCACAGACGCCTGGGTTTACGTTCCACGAAGGGTGGAGATTTCAAGACGGCGAAAACACTAGAAACGCGGCCTACGGTTCTTCTCCTCTCCATTTTCCTAGTGGTGCTGCCAGCGAAGACGTGACGCAACATTTTTGTATGAAAACTCAAAATGAGGTTACTGAGTATGATATGTATTGGCCTAAGGGACAGTACTGTGTATTCAAACCATCAACTGGTGCTTGCCCTTTCGGTAGGTATAAACTTACGTAATAAGAGAAGGACTAGTAATAAGGGAAGGACGTTGGTCATGTTTGGCATTTTCCATCTCATTTATTTTGTTATGCTTTAACTTGTATATTAAATGTGAAAAGGACCTATAATGTAATTTAGTAGTTCCGCTAACCAATACTCATTAAATATTATTGCTAATGTCCCATCATGCGACAACCGTAACTTATGTTTGTGAGCCATGCGATCCAAAGTCAAGGGTAAAATTAAGATCTTACTCACTATTTATTTCTTGACGTTTCGCCTGCTATCAGCGAGGCTTAGTCATAAGTGCTTATATGACATATCATTATTATTATTATTATTTGTATTATTATGTCCTTGCCTTTATCATTGTTTCTCTGGTAGGCATCTTGTACAGGGACATGTTCCTTTTTTGCCTACCAGACTCATTACGTTTTAATAAAATTAAAGTGAAATAAAATTATAAATTATGACAGTGGTGGGCTTTCCGATGTCAACACGGATAACCATGACGGTGAACTTTAGCCTTTGATGACCGTTTGGGATTTCCCAAACGGGATGTGCGGGGTCCGTCTCTTTCACGATATCGTAAATATGTGGCAGATCGTGTGCGCGCTGATCTCTGTTCATGTTATTAGGATGCAGTCTTATGTTGATGGCTTCTTTGATTACTGTGGTGTTCCATATTCAATAACTTCACATAATCGTTGTTATGTAGTCAGAGAAACTAGCACTTTAGACATTTATTTTTTATCACACTACAATTGTATATTTATATAGGAATGACATCTGGGTGGATCTATTGGGATGATGAAGATAGTAAAAACAAGAACAGTCTTAGTTCATCTGTACCGTCCGGTGTATACGACACAAATACAAAAATCGACTATTGTTGTAGAATCGACGGTTTCGCTGAAAATCCCATCTACCTACCAGTTGATTCTCCATTTTATCTCTTCCCGTATTCCCACAACTGCCAGTCAGTTGAAGGAATGAATGCAAACATGGAGTTTTACAGATGGGACGACGAAGATACGTTCAATAATGACGAGGTCAAAGGTTACCATCCATATAGAGAAATTGAGAACAACAAAAACAACAAAGTGTACTACTGTTACTACACTCCTAAATAAATACATACTTTTAACCGTATTAAGGTCGATTTTAACGAAGCATGATGCAACAGGGAAAAAATACATAGACCTAATATTCTTTATCCATTTATTATCCTTTATGTAGATTCACATTCAAGAAGATAATACTAGTTTTAGGGAAAATAATAGATATATAACGATTTCAAGAAACGGTAATGCACCGAAATATGGTATATAAAATATCAATCCATAAAAGAAATTGTATTGTGTATTTTTTATAATTTGTTCTAGCATCATCGTCATCATAAATAGGACATATAACCTGGCACAATGGATTTTCCAATATTAATTTATCAACGTTTTATTCGCAATATCCAAAAATATATGTATTGTACTACTGATTAGGCCTACACTTAATCATCATCAACATCGCCGTCTACATCATCGTCGTAACCATCATCTTCATTATAATAATAGTAATAATAATTCAATAATAATAGTGTAGTTTTATATAGCGCACACATCCATCTAATGAAAAATGCTCAGGGCGCTTGATATGTGGACTAGGAACTCAATTATTATCAATTATCATTACCTGTGGTGTGCCACAGGTCTCAGTGTTAGGGCCATTACTATTCTTAATTTATGTTAATAACTTAAATAATGTTAGTGACACACTGCAGGTAATATCTTTCGCCAATGATACCACACTTTTTTATTCTAATCAAAATATGGATGTATTATGTAATACTGTTAACAGATAAACAAATAAACTTTGTATAAACACCCAAAAATCTAATTATAAATATAAAAAAAAAAATTAATAATTATAACAATTTTCTTAATAACAAAATTATTGAGCGTAAAACAGAAACTTTATTTCTTGGTGTTTACATTCAAGAAAATTTGAAGTGGACCAGGCACCAGAACTACATTTCTAAAAAAAGATTCTACTTTCCCTTTATAATTTACCCTTATTTTACCACATTTACAGTATTGAAATATTTTCTGGGCTTCTGATTATCCTTCAAATTTGAATAAACTTGTTAAATTACAGAAACGTGCAGCCAGAATTATTATACCTTCATCCATCCGAACCCCGTCTGAACCTTTATTCAAACTATTGAAAATATTTAATTTATTTGATATTCACAAGGTACAACTGGCAATATTTATGTTTCAGTATTATTTTTAAAAAAACGCTTCCTCTTCCTATATTACAATTGTTAGACACATCTCGAAAAATCCGCACATATTATTTTTAAAATGCTTCTATTCCAGTTCCCTTCGTCAGACTCATGAAAAAAGGATTAACGTTTGGTGACAGTCCGGGGTAGGGTGTGGATGTCAGGAAACACTACCGGATATTTCAGCAAAGTGTCAACTTATCTGAATGAGACTTTCGTGAAAGTTTAACCAAGTTACAAGGAAGAAATTATTAAGTGTTTTTGACGATCGAAATTCGGGTGTGAGTTTGAGGGTCATTTAAAATCCTAAGGTCCCACACCTAAATATCTTTAAAACTAAGCAATGGATCTACACGACCCTAAACAGAATAGTTTATCAGGTTTCGATAAAGAAATGTTTAAATTTTGGTGACCACCTGGAGTAGGGTGTAGATATGAGGCCCATTCAAAGGAAAACGTCCGATCAGATATTTCAAAAACTAATCAACTGATATGAATGAAACCTTCGTGGAAGTTTAACCAAGTTACAAGGAAGAAATTATGAATTTTGGTGACAGTCCAACTTCGGGTGTGCATTTGAGGGCCATTAAGTCCTACACCTAAATATCTCTAAAACTAATTAATGGATCTACACGACTCTAAACAGAATAGTTTATCAGGTTTCGATGAAGAAATGTTTAAATTTTGATGACCACCCGCAGTAGGGTGTAGATATGAGGCCCATTCAAAGGAAAACGTCCGATCAGATATTTCAAAAACTAATCAACTGATATGAATGAAACCTTCCTGGAAGCTTAATCAAGTTACAAGGAAGAGATGATGAGTTTTAGTGACAGTCCAACTTCGGGTGTGCATTTGAGGGCCATTAAGTCTCAGACCTAAATATCTCTAAAATGGATCAATGGACCATAATGACGCTTTCCAGAATAGTTTGTAATGTTTTAATGAAAAAGTTTTTAAATTTTGGTCCCACCCGAGGTAGGGTGTGGATATGTAGGACCATTTAAAGAATAGAATAATCGTATACCGTAGACTGATAACAATAGATGTATACATGAATATTTAAATTAGTGCAATTACAGTAAATGACGTGTACAAAGTTTGATGTGTACTTCAGATTTTGGGAACTGACTGAGAATAATTTTAATGCATCTTTATATTTAAACATGTGACGCTAGGAACCATTGACTATTTGCATAATATTTCCTTTTCGAGGGAATTTTTTAAATAGACAGTATATACAAAACATTAGCCTCTACAAAATAAATGTTGATACATTCGTAACATATAATGTCCTGATGTTCCTTATGTTTCTTTTACAGAAGTAGCAGTAGTAGAATAAAATAAATCAATATTTATGATAAGTTGTCGTTGGTCCTCTTATCAGCAAAGTATTGTATATTTTCCTCAAATCTGTCATTTCGTATGATCAAAACAATAAACAGATTTGATAACCTTGTTGGAATATAGGAATATGATGTAATATTGGTATCAGCAAAGAGAGAAGTTATAAATGATTGATATAAGCTTACCTGAACTGAAAATCAAATGACATCTTAAAAGTATCTTATTTCTTTGTTACTAACTGTATTTGTGACTTGTCTGACTTCTTATTAATTACTTTAAATATATTAGGCGTAAATAATATAATCAACAGAAGCTTTAACCCTGCAATTATATTAGGCCTACATTTTTAGACTGCTGATGTTGAAACAGTTATTATTGATGTAGCGTTCTGCGCACGATCTTTCAGAACGCCGCCAGGCCACAAACAGTAACACAAGATCATAAAGTCCTTCTTTAATTCCTGGTAGACGATACCAATATATGAATGGATTGACAAGTGAATTACTAACAGATAAGCAATAAAGTATGTTCATTGCAAATTCATTTTCGTCAACACTTTGGACAAATACTGCTATTATAAAGAAACAGCAAAGTGGAAGCCAGCAAATGGTAGCAACTACAAGCAGAATACTGAATGATCGAATCAGTTTCTGGGATCTCCCAACTACATTCTTTCCAAGATAGTTAGTGACGTTTCGGTCGTTTTTTCTGAGTTCTATTGAAATTCTGAAGTACAAAATATAATTTGCAATAATTGTGATTAATGGGAGAACAGAGAAAGCCAGTCGTGTATATTTATTGTATATATCGTACGCGTACACTGTTATGATAACAGAGATCGCAATAATCCAGAAAAGCACACACACACGATAATGCACCGCTTTGAAGTTATCACTTGTTTGTAGGTAAACGGAGCAGCAACTATCGCAATGTAACGTTCGATGCTAACAGCACTTATGCTGAACATGGACACAAGAAACATTGCATCTAATAATCCTCCGAAGACAAACGATCCGTAAAAGATGCTGAAGAGGATTAAAAATGTACCAACTGCGAAATCGGCCAGAGATAAGCTAAACAAGAATACATTTCTCTCCATGGGTAATTTCTTCGATGCTATTACAAGATATAAGACGACAGTATTTTCTGAAGCTGCCAGGGCACCAAGGACAATGTAGAGAGCACACTACATACTTAGACAAAATCTACAAACTACAAAAGAAAGTCCTACGCATAATATACAAAGTCCATTATCTTTACCCAACTAAACAACTCTTTCTAAAAACTGCATCTCTTAATGTTTTTCACCTTTATGAAATGGCTGTTACAACATTTATGTTTAAATTCTTAAAGGGGCTCGTCCCAAATATATTCCAAAATTATTTCCAACTAAATAGGTCCGTTCATAGTTACAACACAAGGTCCAGATCAAATTTTAGATCGTCAAAAAAGATCCCTCCAAAGCCCAACAATCTATAACATATAAAGGACCCCAAATATGGAATAAATTCCCTCAAAACGTTAAAATCATTAACTCTTTCTATTTATCCAAAAAGTATCTTAAGAAGCACACGTTGGATAATACATGAAATGTATACTGTAACAGCTGTCTCTTATACACATCTAGATGTGTATAAGAGACAGAATCTAGGTAGAGAGGGTTATACTTCATACCGGAACATTATATCGAAATTAGTTACTTCATAAAAATTAGTAAAACATTCTTGTACAGTAGTCAGTACCAGGAACTAATTGAATGGCAAATAAAAAGACAATTCTATGAAAGGCAGTAAATATTATAAAAACAGAAATCATATGAGATGGCGGTAGTCTGTGCGAAAGATACTTGGATAAACTGATTATTTGCCAATGTTCTTTAAATAAACAACCTACAAAAAATGGAGCCATCCATTCCAAAGCACCAGATGACTGCACAGCTGTCACATGTTGTGTTC